ACTCTCTGTTTCTTTTTCCCAGCGGACGAGGCTCCCTGGCCGCGCCCAAGGACCGCGGCAGGGCACGGGGGGACCGGGGCCCACATGACGGCCCAAGAGGCCCCCAAGCAGGCCCAAGAGCGCTTTCAGAGAGCCAAAGGCGGTTTTCGATGGCCCCCCCCAACCAGAGGCCCCCAAGGCCCAAGAGGCCCCAAGACGACCCAAGGCCCAAGAGGCCCCCCCAAGGGTCCCCAAAAGACAAACATCGCAGTATTTTTGCCCCGGAAGCGTGCATTTGACATATTCGTTTTTTCGGTCTTGCCAGCGTCCACGATGGGCCAGGAAGCCCCCAATCTTGCCTGAAAGCGGTCCACGAGGCCCCCAAGAAGACCTCAAGACGGCCCAACAGAGCTTCAAGACGGCCCGAGAGAGCCCCCAGACGGGCCGGACCTCCTCCTTGCCGCCCGCAGTTTTCCTCCACTGCAGAGGCATCCGCAGCGGGGGCGGATGTCGATGGGGGCGGCGGAGTCTCGGGCAACGAACCAGCAGGTCCGGGAGGCCGCCGCGCACGCACTGGCCTTTCAACGTTGGCAGCTTCCCGCCCGCCTCCTCGGCGTCGACGCGAAGGCCGCGGGCGTCGACGGGAACGCCTCCACGAGACGCGTGCGCTGCGGCCTCGGCTCGTGCGCCGCGGGCATCTAGGCGCGTTGGCGCGCCTTTCGACGGGGGCCCCCGCGGCCCGGCGAGACTCCGCAGACCCAGCGGGGGCAGCTCGGTTGCGTTGTCCACGTCGCCCCGTCCTCGCCGCTGGCCTCCGCTCCCGCGGGCAAGTCCCAGTCCGCGTTGGATATCATAACTTCGGAAGCCGCGGCGACGCTGCAATCCCCCCCCCAACGCTTCGGGACTTGTTGCGGGCCCCCTGCGCTTCACTACGCGCGCCCTGTTCGTCGCGACTCACGGGGTGCCCGACCGTCTGCCTGGCGGAGGCTTGGTCGTCGCGCCCGCGCGCGCTATTATCGACGCGTCCCCGCGAATATGCGCTCTCGCGGGCGCTCTGGCCACGGCGGGTCCGCGCGTCACTTTTCACCATGGGCGCCCCCTTGCAGTGGCGCGCGCGGTTTCGGCCCGCCGCCCCCGACGCGGGGCGCGCCCCCCTTCCAGGAAGCTTCCAGTCGCCAGCCGCGAGGAGCTGTCGGTGTCGCGCGAGCATTCGCGCAGTTCGGTTCACGCCCAGGGACGGAACGATCCGAGATCCGCCGTCGCACGCCGCCACGACCGTCCAGAGGCGCCCTCAAAACTAGTCAGAACCGCTCCGCGGGGCCCGCGCTGGCGAGAGTTTTCGCGGCATCTCGCATCAGGCCGCAGCTAGACGCGAGGGCGACGCGCGCGGCGCAATCGCACTGCGCGCCGGGCAGCGGCGCCCGCGCGAGGCAGAGACGACGCTAGGCGCCATCCGCGGCGCCATCACTTGCCCCCGCCGCCGTCGCGGAGGACTCGTCGTCGCCGGCGGATGCCTTGCACGGTTTTTCGCGCCGCGGCGGGCGGGGCGCGGGGGGCGGGGCGACCTGCGGGGGGCGCCCGCGCCGCGCCACTCGCTCGAAAGCGAGGAATCTTGCGGTCGGAGTTTCTCGGTGCGTCGAGCGGGCGCGCCGCGGTCTGCCCCCTTCCCTGGGCCGCGGCGAGAGGGCGCCGCGGCGCCCCCCGTTCCCCCGTGCGCAGACATAGCACTCAATGGTTCGGCAACGTAAGTGAAGAAAGCATGATCACAATGGCGGCGAACGCCGCTTCCCTCGGCGAAAGACCCGAGAGCGCATCGCCCGTCTATATGGAGTGCAGGGGGTCCCCCCTCAGCGCGAAGTGGCACTCCTGGGCCCGCTTGCGCCGGGCCCCCGCGCGCCGCTGCGCGAGCTTCGAAAACGCCGCGCGCGCTCTGCAGAAAGAGCCGCCCGCGGTCAGCGTCTGCCGCGGCGCCACGTCCGCGTCGCCCCGCGTGGGCGAAAAGGAGCACTGGCAGGCCTCGCGCCGGGCTGCCGGCGAGTGCTTGCAGCTGGCAAACATCAGCAGCGACGAGCCTCGCGCGCGCTGTGCGCTCGCGCAGGTCGCTCGCGACTTGCGTCGCGACGCCTCGCGCTTTTCCGAGGCCCAGGTTCTCTGGAAGAGCTCGCGGCGCAGGATTTGCAACTTCAGAACCATGTGCAACGCTGTGCGTTGCGAAAAAGTCCCTTCGCTCAGCTCCGCGAGTCTGGGGATTGTTGCCTATGTTTGAGTTGCTGAGCCGCTCGCGGCGGAGCATGCATATGGGTCTGGACAGAGTGTGAGAGGCGCAGCTAGCTCCTCGGATAATCGTTGGCGCATACCTGGGTCGTTGGGCATCGACGCTCTGGATGGGCATCAGACTGCGCTGGCCCCCGCCGCCTTCGCAGGGGACTCGTCGTCGCTGGTGGACGCCTCGCGCGGTTGTCGCGGTGAGCAGGCCCCGCGTGGGCCAACCTGCAGGGGGGCGCCCGCGCCGCGCTCATCGCTCGAATGTAAGGAATACTGCGTACGGCGATGATCGACGCGTCGAGAGGGCGCCGCGGTCTGCCTCCCCCCGAAGGCCGCAGCGAACGAGCACAGCGGTGCCTGCAATTTTCCCGCGCGTAGAATACGAATAGCACGCGCATTCCCCACGTAAGCGTAAGACAAGAGAGCGCGAAAGACTGGGCAGTAGTTTGGCCGTCTATATGGGGAGCAGGGCTTCTCTTTTCTCCCCTCTGCTCGAAGTGGCACAATGGGCTCGCTCGCATGAGGCTCGCGTACGTCGCTGCGTGAGTTTCGAAAGCGCCGCGCGCACTTTGCGTGCAAAAACAGTCCACGGTCATTCATTATCTGCAGTGGAACCATGTCCGCGTCGTCCCGCGTGAACGTAAAGGAGTACTGTCAGGCCTTGCAGCGCGCCGCTGGCGAGCGCATGCAGTTGGCAATTGGCAGCAGCGACGAGCCTTTTGCGTGTTGCGTGCTCGCGCAGCGGCGGTGGTGGCGATTGAAAAGGACGGGCGCGCCATGCCATTTGCTTCACGATGCCTGGCCCACTTCCGAAGCCCAGGCTCTCCGGGCGAGCTCTCGACGCAGGCGCTGCACCTCGCGATCGCCGTGCAGCGCGGGTGGTGGTGGCAAAGCGCAGGCGCTTTTCAATAATCCGGGCGCGGAGAGTGCAACACTGCATGCGGCTCCACCCCCTGGCAGTCCGCCCCCAGGCCCGTTATTGGTTCCCTTCGAGTGGTTTTGCTAGTCCATGCGCAATGCATCGGAAAATGCTGCGTTACAGTCGTTGACTGTTAAAAATCGGAAAATGCTGCGTTCGAATGGAAACAAGTGTCGTTGATTCGACGCGGAACTTAGCTTGCGTGCAGCTACTCAACGCAGTAGAAAAACGGCCTGCGCGGCGAGGCTCCATCGTGCGAGGGAGACCTCGCATTCAGACGAAGGGATATGCTCGCCCTCTGAGCGCCCTCAGACCCGTGGAATGAGCCGCGTCGCATCGCCGACTGTCAACGTGATATGTTTGAAGACTTCGGCCCGATTCCTTGCATAACATTTCCGTACGCATGGGAATTATTTTGTCAAACTTGTCGATGTGCCCAGCAGCGAAGACGTCATGTTCATATCGGAATTGCATGGTTCAATTCGCGCGATGTTCAAGACCTGATTTCCCACATTGAAAGGATTCTGCTAGAGCAAGTCGTACGGACTATTGGCATAGAAAGCGTATCCCCGGTTGTTGTCGTCCCTGCCCCGCGTATACCTGTGACAGCAATGCCCGGCAAGGACTGTCGGCCATTTTCTTGCGCATTGTCGGGTTACTTTGACGTTGCTCGGGCAACTTCGACTTCGGCGACTCTGCGGGGACCGCGACAGCGGATAACTACAACTCGTGTGAGAGCGTACTGCGAGCCCATGGACAAGTGATGGCTCTTGATCTACGACGTCCTTACGAGTACGGGCGCCATGGCTGAAAACGGGTCCGAACGTTTGGCTTTGCCAGGCAATGCGACAGTTCTCAGCGGGGCCCGCTTGGAGCGCCGAGGAACAATAAAGAAGATGCATGGAGACAGTACACGCTATCCAGAAAAAAACAAATCAGATGTAGGTTTGCAGGAAGCGCTGCAAACAGACCGCGCAGCATCCCAATAGTGAAGACTACAATCGTCTCTGTGGGAGATATGCAACAAAGCACGCTGGCCTGAAGTCGGTTTTAAATGAGTGTGTATAAGACCGTGCCGTCGAGAAGAGCAATCCTTCCTTCTGCACGAAACGGTATGCGGTGTCCAGAAGGTTGCCTCCCGGCACGTCATGGGGGTTCCGTTGTGACGTGACCGTCGCTAGTACTGCAAGGGCATCGCTCACGCTAGCCAGCAGCGCCTGATACGAAAAGGGCGCTCTAGTCTCTCTGGCCAGGCTCACATCACGGGTCTGCACCACCAACTGCTGCCTGCCATGGCCAAATCCTCAGAGAGAGCCCGCCCCCCGACGATGACGATGGTGATGATGATGATGGTGTTGGTGATGGTGATGATTATGATGATGATGATGATGATGATGATGATGATGATGATGATGATGATGATGATGATGATGATGATGATGATGATGATGATGATGACGATGATGATGATGATGATGATGATGGTGATGATGATGGTGATGATGATGACCATGACCATGACCATTTCCATGACCATGTTCATGACCATGACCATGATGATGATGACGATGACGATGTTGATGATGATGATGATGATGGTGATGGTGATGATGATGATGATGATGATGATGATGATGATGATGATGATGATGATGATCATGATGATGATGGTGCTGGTGCTGGTGCTGGTGCTGGTGATGGTGCTGGTGATGATGATAATGATGATGGTGGTGATGGTGATGATGACGACGATGACGATGTTCTCCCTCGAAATGCTAAAGTGAGTGCACTTTGTGACCACATCGTCATCGTCATCGTCTAGCGCCGCGCGACGCAGGTCGCCGGCCGATGCGTGCAGGTCGAGGGCTACATGCCTTAGGGGTGCCCATGACGCGCGGCGGGGGCGCCGCGTCGCGGCGGCCTGGCGCGGCCTCCGCCACCGCCATGCCGCCTCGGGGGCGGATCCCCATCCCCATCCCGAGCCCCACCACCCCTCAGGAGGGAAACAAAGACACAGACACAGAGAATATGGGAAAATATGGGAAGTGGGGGGGAAGACAAAACCCATAACGTATGGGGAATACATGGGGAATCCTGTCATTTGTGTATATTTATTTGTGTGTTCCAGGGCCCCTTCAACCCCACCACTCCAGTCGGGCGAAGAACGGTGTAAAATTAACTTGTTCGCCGTGTGGGCGGCTTGAAAGTTTATAGTCCTACGATGTCACGTCCAGGTAGAAACTTTCCAGCCGCCCTGGGACAGGCGCCCCTGGTGCCGGAAAAAACGGCATAAACATGAATTTTCGGCGCTCCGCGCGGATTTCTTGAGCGTCCGCAACGGGGCCCACCGGGCGGCGCCTCCGGCGCCTCCCCTGACGCGCTCCGCGCGCCAAGGAGGGGGGTCCGGCTCAGAGCGCCAACAGTTTATGTTTATGCCGTCTTTGTTCTTCTAGCGATGCGCCTCGAAACCCGAAGGGAACAGCCTATATTCCCATTGAGGGGGGCAGCTCTGGCAGTGGGGCCCAGGCCACGCCCGTGAGGATAAGCATCGTTGAAACGATGCTCACAAGAGGGTGTTGATGACTTAGGGAGGGATATCAAGGAGATGTCTCCCCGGATTTTCATGGGCCGTCATCTTATCTCAGTGCGCCCCCCTTGTCTCCCCCGTGGGCCTCCGGGCTTCCCAGATCGCGTCCAAGCAGATGGGATCAGAGGACTGCACCGCATCGCCTATGCATCGACGGTGCGGCTCGATGCCGAGACCGATTTTTGCATCGCCGACGGCGGCGATGCGACGAGGTCCTCCGACCCCATCTACTCGGACCCCGCTTGGGAGGCCTCCAGGGCCGCGCACGTGCCTCGGGCCAGCTGTGGCGACGAGAGGGGGGGGGAAAGGAGGTGGAGGGGGGAAGGAAGAAGCAGAAGGGAGATTCTCCGAGCCGCGCCCCGATCTGCGAACGCTCCTCCTCGTGGACGTTCCCCCCCCCATCTGGACGCCACCGATGCCGCGGGCCCCGCGCTCGCGGCTACCCGCCAGCGCGGCGCGCAGGGGCCCCCGAGGGACGGGCCAGGGGAGGATCGGCCGGGAACACGGTTGGGGGCGCGCTCGGGGAGGGGGGGGGAGCTTCGGATTTCGAATCGGGGGGACCGAGATGGTCCCAGACACGATAAAGAACATTTACCGTCGCAGCATTAAGCTGCCCGCGCTCCCGCTCGTGCTAGGGGCGAAAGGGAAATACAGCTGGCGGGCCCTGTCCTGGGGTAATTTGCTTCGGGTTTCGAGTCGGGGGCTCCGAGATGCTTAAGGAAGCAATGGGCACAAAGTCCAGCAGCAGCTCTTGTTCATTCTGAAGAGGACTCGTTGTCGGCATCGCCGCCCAAGCTCGCCTGCCCAACAGCCGCCGCTGTCGATTTTACATAACATGTGTTGTTATGCATCGTCCCCATTCTTCCCGTACCCATTTTGGGCATCCAAATCGAAGAGGAGATAACCCCAGAGGGTTCTTAATGCTGCCCGCCCCCCCTCTAATCAAATTCCCGGCTGGCAATTTAGCTCGTCCTTACCCTCCTCGTCCCTCGTCTCACCATCATCATTGCCAGAATCACCATCATCACCATCAGGGGGAGTTTCGGATTACGAAGAGGAGAGGACAGTATGACATAAAGTTTCAACTGCGCGCGCGGATTTCATGGTTTTGCGATGGACCCTCCTTCCTGGCGCGCGGAGCGCGCCAGGGGCGGCGCGGATGTGCCGCCTGAGTATCCAGCGCAAAGTTTATGTTTATGCAGCTTTCTGTTTCAGGATTCGGGATTTGAGATTCTCGGGCGTTTTCGTAGGCGTTCGGCGGTTTCCAGCCTCGGGCTGCCCTCCCGCAGCTGCGCCTCGCCGAGAGCTTTGCGGGGGTGCCCGAAGCTTCCCGAACAACCGGCGGGGAGCGGGGCCATGACCCGAAAGCCAGGGGACGACGTCGGGGTGCATGGGTTCAGGGGGGAACGCATCGAGCCACAATCGTCCATTGATCGCCGGAAGGGGCCCGATGGGCCTCACGGCGGTCATATAAACATCTACATATATACATGCATATATATATATATACACATATATATATGTACATATACATATATATATATATATATATATATATATATGTGTGTGAATACTCGTGTGGCGAGGGGTATCCACAGACAGACTGGCACAGTTCCGGCACGTGGAACGTAGGCGGCCGGGCGGTCACAACCTTGGCCCGTGAGAACATGCCGTTCTGGGATGTTTCTTGCGCGAAAAATGGGCATCTCGCCAGGGAGGTTATTTTTCGGTGCGGTCCGCCCAAACGCGCCACCGAAATCGAAAGGAGGAATGGAATAAGGACACGCTAGGTGTTCCCGCGCCATGTCTGATATCCTATCGCTCCCTCCCATCCTTTCCCATTGTGCCTTCTCTTTCCTCTACGGACGCGTGTCATAGCCGATCTGGATCTCCCAAAAAACGACCCCGTCGAGCGATGGGCAATCAGAAGGAGGAGGGGGAGGAGGAGGAGGAGGAGGAGGAGGAGGAGGAGGAGGAAGAGGAGGAGGAGGAGGAGGAGGAGGAGGAGTTGGCTGGTGAGCAGGAGGATGAGCAGGAGAAGAAGGAGGAGGATGAGGAAGGACGAGGACGACGAATAGTAGCAGCAGGAACTGGAGTGGAAGGAGTGGAAGGAGCAGACGGACCAGAGGAAGGCGGAGGACGGGAAATGAGGGGGGGGCAGCAATGAAAAAGGATTCGGATTCAGAAAAGGGGCCTGCGTTGCGGCGAGAGCGCCATTTTGAACGACGGGATCACAGCGCCTATCCGAAAATGAGGCACTCGCTGCAGCTGGATCACGGTTTCGAGGCACCGAAACAATTTGATAATATACATACACGCGGAAATAAATGTTTGAACCATTGTATTAAGAACAACACGCAGAGAGGTCCGAACATCTTTGGAACAGAGTCAAGGTACACATGATGTCTCGATTCGCTTTTGGCCCAGCCCGCCACCGTGCCTGGGTTGTGGGTATGAAGATTACTGGATGTTCGTTGGGATCTCGTGGAGCGCCTCTTGGTGGCTTCTTACGGGCCTCTTGGGGCTTCAATTGTGCCTCTAGGGGGCCTCCTGGGTGCCTCTTGGGGCCTCGTGGGGCCCTCTTGGGGCAGATGGCTCGGATTTTCTGTTTTAAGGCCCGTTTTGGGGTCGTCTTGGGGCCTTGTTGGGCCGTTTTGGGCGCCTCTTGGGCCGTCTTGGGGCCCTCTTGGGCCGTCTCGGGGAACGCCAGAATCATTTAAAAACCAAAAGGAACTCACTTGTGTGGGCCTTTTGGGGTCCTCTTGGGTGGCCTCTCGGATGCCTCATTGGGCGTCTTGGATGCCTTTTGGGCCGTCTGGGGGCCATTCTGAGCGTCTTGGAACGATCGTTCGCGATTCGGAGACTTCTTGGACCGTTTTGGGGACTTCTTCGTGCCCTTTTCCGCCCGTCTTGGGGCTCATGCGACAACACTTCCCGGAGCCAGGGAGGCACGCGGGAAGCCCCAGGGGGCACGCGCCAAGTTTTGCCAAATTTTGGATTTTGGAGTTTGGAGTTTGCGCCAAGTTTTCGCAAGTTTTAAGACTCCCTGAGGAGCGAGGACTGAGGCTTACAACAAGATTAGGCAAAGGACCTGAGGGCACGCCCACTCCGTGCCCAGAGGCACGGTGGCGGATAATTGAGGAGGAGGAAAAGGAGGAGGAGGAGCAGGAGCAGGAGCAGGAGCAGGAGCAGGAGCAGGAGGAAGAGGAGGAGAACGAGGCAGTAGGAGGCAGGAAGAGTGAGGATAATCAGAATGAGGAGGCAGAACAAGGCAGGAGGAGAGAGGAGGGGTAGTGAGGAGGAGGAGGAGGAGGAGGAGGACGAAGACGAATAATAATACTAATAATGATAATACTACGAATAATGATAATACTACTAATAATAATAGTAGTACTAATAAGAAGAGGGGACATGGAGGAGGAACAGATGGGGGAAGTGAGGATACTGAAGTATGAGGAATGACGATGGTGATGATGCTGATGTTGATGATGATGATGCTGATGATGCTGATGGAGAAGAATAATCAATGATGATGATGATGATGATATGATGATGATGATGATGATGATGATGACGCGGATGGTGATGATGACGATGATGAAGACTACGACTCTGATGATGGTGGTGATGATCGTAACAGAGATGGTGGTGATGATGATGCTGATGATGATGCTGATGATGATGCTGATGATGATGATGATGATGATGATGATGATGATGATGATGACGATGATGATGATGATGATGATGATGATGATGATGATGATGATGATGATGATGATGATGATGATGATGGTCATGCTGATGGTGGTGCGGAGGAGGAGGAGGAGGAGGAGGTGGAGGAGGAGGAGATGGAGGAGCTGGAGGGAAAATGTGGAGGGGGGGCGAGGAGGAGAGGAAGAGCATCATGAGGACGAGGAGGAGGGGGAGTGGGAGAGAGAGAGAGAGAGAGAGAGAGAGAGAGGTGGAAGAGGCAGTGTGGGGCAGGATGGGTGAGGAGTGGGAGGAGGAGGACAAGGAGGAGGAGGAGGATCAGTGTAAACCCAAGGCTCACCAACGATATTGCAATGAACGCACCCTCCAAGTTCTGTCTTCATAGGCTCCTACACGGATTTGTTTTCACTGAGGGAAGTGCCCCGTTGGAAGACAACCATTTGGAAATCTGGACTAGTGCCAGAACACCACTCTTGGGGCTTGAACGCCGCGAATCAATGTGGCTGTTGCGCCCTGCCATTCCGGCATCGTGCCAAATCGCCATGTCTGGGACGTTACCACGAGAATATGTAATGAAATTGGTGCAAATTCTTAAGTCGAATGTGCGCGGCGCTCAGGCGAGATTCACATTTTTTTCTTAAGGAGCCGTTTTCCACCCGTGAAGCTGTTGCATTTGTT